CCCCAAAACCCCAAAACCCCAAAACCCCGAATCATAGAAGAGAAATTGAGGTAAGTAATTATTTTTGGGGTAAAATATGAGCTTTATATTTTCCTCATTTTTCTGATAAAGTCTTCAATGTACTCTTTCACCTCTTCGACCTTTTTGTACAGACCACTACTGCGGAAAGCAGCTATTCCGCCTGCGATGAGAGGGAATATTGAGTTTATGACTGCGTTGAAGCCGTCTGCTCTGCTGAAAGTGTAGATTCCGAGTAGGATGAAGATGATTGCGGCGATTAGGTACATCAAAGTGAGAATTCCGAATAATACTATGTCTGCTTTTGTCAGGTCTAGGTTTCTAAGGGTTTCTTCAGCAATTTGCTCTGTCAGTAGTTTTATCAGCTCAGGGAATTCATCAAAATCAACATAATTATCTTTGTTTGTGTTCGCTATTGCAAACATTCTGAGGGATCTCTCGCTATCAATATCCATTCCAATGTATTTGCAGAGGTCTTGGAACTCAGCAAAGGAAATTCCTCCGCTCTGGTCTTTATCAAACATTTTAAATAAATCTCTGTACATGACTTCTCTGATATAGGAAGATGAGGAGGCTTTGACATGATCAACTAATTCTGTTGCTTTGGCTTTAACATCCTCTCTAACATCTTTTGTGGCTTCTTCAATGTTATTGTAAAGCATCTGGATTCCAGTCTTTGCAGTAAAATTAGGATCGTCTAACTTTCGCTTAACGAAATAATAAGAACTCTTCACATCAGCTACCAAGCCTGGTAGATTGTACTTCTTATCAGTAAAGATATTGCATTTGCATTTTCTAAGGATTCCGAAGAATTCAGAGACAAGACTTCCAACAGTTGCTGAAGATATAAGTCCATTACAAAGCTCAGGAATTGAAGAGTAATCCTTTTTACATAGGGATATTGTCAACAAGATTATTTTCTCAATTTGAGGAGAACCTCCTTCTTCAGCAACAAGGTTTCTATATTAATGATGTCAAAATATCATATACAACCAATTATCAAATCAATCACCCAAGCACCATTCTTCCCAACCCAAGCCCATAAAACTCCCAAAACTTACGCTAAAACATTCGCCAATTTCTTAACATTACTATCTGAAATCTTTACATCCTCATCATTAATAAGCCTCAACAAGAAGGCTATCAGCATATACACTTGCTCATTCTCAAGCTCAATCTTTCCCAAAGTAATTATACCTAAATCAATCAGTTAGTCACCCTGTGCAATATAAAACCTCTGTTCCTTCACAAATCTGGTCCTGAGATCCTGAACGGACCAGTGCAGGTTGAAAAGGATGGAGGAAGGAAATGGCTGAAGAGGGAAGAAAGAGAAGGGATTGGGAGAGGATATAGGTCTCTGAAGCATTGTTTGGTGGGAGTAAAGGTGCGGAGGGTATTCTTGTGAAGTGGTGTGATGGAGAAAATTGGGATTTGAAGTATTATGTTAGGGGGATGGGTGATAGCTAGCATAAGTCTGAACTGAACAAATATACGGGGTTACAAAATGAAAATTATAATTTAGAGTAAACTTATATTACTCGCTCTTATATTTGAAGATATTTCTATTTTTCCTGATTGGTTTACAGAAAAACTTTTGATCTTTATATAAAAACTATTCCTAGAGGTAAAGCAAAGGTTCAACCAGTTTCATAATATGGGGCAGAATAAAGATTAAGCTATCATACTAATAATTTTTTAAGATATTTCACTCTTTTCAAAATCTATAGTTCATGAAAATGCTTATAATTTAGTATTAAAGAAAGAAAGTAATAAATAAAAGAATCAGCAAATGCGAAGAGAACAAGATTGGTTATATTTACTTCATTTTAACAATCTCAGGCTATTTAATTCAGCCTTTGAAATAAGTCACATTAAGTAATAACTTGAGATCAAGAAAGATAATTACCAATTATTTCTAAACTCATAATAATTCTTTGGTCTAATCCCCATTAGCTTAGAAACAATAAGTTCTGCACTAAGTATAGCACCTTCAGTCCTCTCTTCTCAGGTTTAATGATCATTTTTAAATGTTGGCTTACTTCATAATTTTTTAATATCTTCAAATGAAAATTTGATCTGTTTTTGCTCGATACCTGTCTTGAAATCACAGATGAAATTAATAATATCTAGCTCGTCTGGGAAATAAATTGATCAAAAATCTTGTAAGAATAACAGAACTGATTCATAGTTACCCTGCGAGATATCGATCAATTTCCTAAGTATAGTGGCAGGCTTTGTGAGAACTACTGATTTCCCATCAAATTCATCTTCGAATATAGATGAAGAAGACTGCTTTGATTCCTCGTCATTCTCTTCTTTAAATATCAAGGATATCGGACTGGAGTCCTCACTTGGATCTATAAGAATTGAAGGGTAACATTTTGTCGTTGGAAACAAAATATAAGAGCTTACTTTTATAATAGCAAAGGTAAATCCTCTCATATGGGTATGTCTCGGGATCATCAAAGTCCACATTTTCTGGCATATTCAACTTTTCCATGTCCCCTCCTAAGTAGGGCATACAAAGTTTGATCATTTCATCGATAAATTTAAGGGACTCCTTTTTAACAATATTTTTAATCATTTTAAAAGCAGAATTTTTCAAACCAGTTTTAAGTTTATCAAACTTTTCTTCAATGTTAATGTAGTTGAAAATATCATGGTTTTTCCTGGTCAGACTGCATGTAAGAATATCACAAAGGAAAGAGAAGTATTTTGAATCTACAATTTCCTCTACATCTTCAACCTCTTTTAGCAAAATACTTTTGAAAAGAGGGATAGTATGAATTCTAAGAATTCTCTCTATGTTTTCCGAAAATATTCCTTCTAATCCACAGAACACTTCTTTTTTCATTGCCATGGAAGCGATAAGAGATCATATAAATGTCTGATTCCCAAAGAAGAAAAAGTCTCAAATGAATCCATAATATCGTATATTTCCATTCAAAGCCCCAATAAAGGCAAAAGCATGAGCGTACCCTAAAAATCATTCTTCTAACTTACACTTCATAATATCATCAGTAAACTTAGCTAACTCAGGATACCCCCAGTCGTTAAACAATTTCTTCAACAAATCCTTCATTTCAAACCCTGAAAGCTCTTGTTTCATAAGCCGCATTGTCATTATGTAAGTTTTCTTCAGGCCCATATCTTCACTACAAATATTATAAATTTGAACTTACCTGTCCTTCAAGCTAGCATAGTCTTCAGGATTTCTAAAGGATTAGGAGGGGAGTACTTGAATTCGAGGTTTTTGATGATGGTCTTTTTGGACATGTGGGAGGGACTGACGATCATGGTGAAGATTTTGGTTAATTTTGAGAGTTTTGAATGGAAGTTGGAGGAGGTTGGGGATTCTGGAGAGAGGGAAAGGAAGGCTCCGCCGATGTCTGAGTGTAGGAGATAGGCGTAGGTCTTGCATGTAGAGATTTTGATTTTGGAATTTGTCTATAGAGGTAGTATGGAAAAGTACTTTTTGCTTGATTGTGTAGAATAAAGGCTCCATTTCTTCGATTTTGTGTGTTACTACTGCTCCGAGAAGATCCATAGAGGCTGGTGAAAGATTATATATTTGTGATATAAACTCTATCATGCTAGAATCCCCTAGAGTCAACTGAGTCAAAGATTTCAGCCAGTTAACGCTTTCTTTATCAAGATTATAGTTGGAATAAAGCATTTTCGTAATTTTTTGTTTGATGCTAAAAGCTCTTTGGTCATAGCTCTTGTCAGTATCGAACAGTGAGGAGTCTTTACAAACTTCAAGTAGTCCATTTTGGTCTCTTGAAAGGAAAGTATGCAGGTCTAATGCAAGTTTGCTCTTCTTTCTGAACAATTTAGTTAAAATCTTCTTGGATAGCTCAGATTCAACGTTATAAGGAATGCCTAATTCTGGGTTGAAGGGAACTCCATGTACAAGAGACATTATTAACATCGATTGTTTTCTATCTTTTTCAGATGCTTTTCTTATTACTGGAGATATATGCTTTAGCAAAGCATCTCAATTGTTATAGAAATTAGAGTAATCTCCAAGAACTAGTCCAAGTACTGACATTATCAAACTGTAGTCAGTATAACTTGAATAAACCTTATCGGATAGGTTGCTGCTTTCTAATAGCCTGAATTTATCAATTGTGTTAGTTAGATAAAACATATCTGAATCGTCAGTCTTCTTTAGCACTAAAAACTTGACTAATGATGGAGAGAGTATTCCTTGGCATAATATTTCGAATAAGTGGGTAATCCTGCCTTGATCTTCGTCCATAATATAGAGCTGATCATATTCGAAATTGTCTTCAGCAGTGTATTCTTCAATAAGATCTTTGATAAATCTATCAATTATATCTAGATGTTCATATTTGGTGAAGCCAGTGGTTTTCCTATGATTATTTAGATCAAGCAATGCAGTTAAGCACAAAATAGTAAGATAGAAAATACAAATTCTTTGGTTGCTCTGATAAAAATATATATTTATCAGATAAGTTGTGCTTTTAGCATGCATCAACTCAGAATATAATCTACAGAAAGAGATACTTGTGGCAAATGTATTGTGTTTAACAGTAAACCACCATGTAAGCACTCAATGCTTTCTCACTGTATTTTTATCAGTTTCAAAAGAAAAACTCTTGAGCTTGATGAAAATTGTATCTTAAAACTTTCAAGTATTGAAATAACAAAATTTATTGATCAAAATTTATCAAACCATTAAAAACTCTTATGTTCGCTAAGGCTAGAGTTCTGGATGATATTTCCAATAAAGGAGTTGTCAAAATCTGAATAAGAATAATTTAATCATTAGAGATCTCTGTTCTAAATTCTGCAGCACAACTTCTAGTAAAGAAATAGTAGAAAATTAGTTACTTAATATCTATATCCCTTTGTAATTTTACCTTGTAAAATATGAGATTAATAATAAAGGATTTAATATTTTCATTTCAAACCATACTACTTAATATAGACGGCTTACTCTGTAACTTCAGATATGCTTTTCTTCTCTTCAAGCTCTATCACATTATTTTTTTCACTATAAGATTAATATTTTTAATACGTCTTTTCGATGATTTCCATTGGATCGAAAATAGATGGTCCATCACTTTGCTCCTCAAAGTATAACTCAATTTCTAAATATTTGATGTTAAAACTATACCATCGTTATCTACTTTTCCACTCTCTAGAGGTTTATTAGATTTAACTTCAACAATCTCTGATTCCACCTCGTTTTCATCTCCTTCCTCTTCTCCCTCACCATCTCCATTGGAGGAGGTTGATGAATTTTGTTCTGAGCCATTAGATACTTCTTCAAGTTCGACTGATTCCTCCTCATTTTCTGGGGAGCCAGATCCTTCAGCTTCAGACTCTGGTTGATCTCCTTCATCACCACTATCACTTTGTTCACCCTCTTCGGATTCAAGGCTTTCACCTCCTTCATAAGAATGATCTGAACCTCCATTGTCGGAATCAAACCGAACAGCTTTTCGAGGCTTATTCTGATCCGGGCTTCTTCCAGAACTATCTCCTGAGCTTTGATCTTCTTGGGAAGATCTTGCTGGTTCTTTTTGAAGAGCAACATCACTCATACTGTCTGACTCCATTTTGAAGAACTTGCTTTCTTCCTTCATTGCTTTGCGAGGCACAACAACAGACTCTGCTGAGTCGCTACTCATTTCACTAAGTTCAGGATTTCCGACAGATCTTGTATAATCAGAGTATTCATATGAATCACCTACAGATTACTAAAGAATTCTTACTGTAGCTGGAAATCTCTTGGTCGCTACCAATATACTTCCTTTCTTTTCTACTAATTGACGGCTTTCCTTCTGCCATTTGTTCAAATTCATCATGTATTTTCTCCAGTTCTATATTATTATAACAAAATGCTCTTGAAGAAATTTAATAATTCAAAGAGAGTCTTCGTAATCAAGAATCTTTTGCAATATTTAATCCTCGAATAAAAATGTATTCATATGCATTCTAAACTAACTATTTCCAGACTCGGTGGAAAATGAAGACCAAAGTTTGAATTTCATTAGGTTCTTCTTAAGCCATCAAAACTAAGATTGAATTTCGAAGGATTGACCGTTCCTTCATTCTTCTATTACTTCTGCCTATTTAGTAATTACCTTGTATTTCTTTGGTGTAATTACGGTTTGGATTAAGCCGATATTCCTGGATCACTGAGACAACACTTTTGGCAATATCAGCTTCTTTGAGCTCTTCGCCTTCTTCGATATTTGTTGTGACAGAAGCATGAGCATTCACATCTAGAAGGAGTAACAAATAAAGTACCTTCGGCATTTTGTGCTGCACTTTCTTCTTGCTTTGAGGCACTCTCTTTTGTTGGTTTGAAGTGGTATCATCTGCATTTTTTCAGATTAGGGAGAGATTGAGAGTTTTTCTTGATGCCTTTCAGTTTTAGCTATGATAGTTAGTTATAATATTTACCTTTCGTAATAGACCATTAAGTTTGCCACATTCTCACACATATTTCCCGTGCTTAGCTTCGAGTTTTATAGAAGAGAGTTCCTGACATTGTATGGCACAAAGTAATCATAGACTTATTGGAGTGCTGTCCTCAAACTCTCTGTAGTAAAAGAATGGCCGACTGACTTGTTTGTAGCCAGAGGAAAGGAAAGAACAGTATAAGTCACTTATTTTCTTATCTCTGATAATCTTGATGATATCATCGTGAATTTCCTTTCTTTCTTCATCCGATTCATAATCATTAACTCTATATCTAAATTAATGATTTTATCAGGTCACTTATTCTGAAATTTATATCTGATACATCTTTAATGAACTTAATAAAGGTAGAGAAAATTTAAATCATTAAGAATTTTAAAGCTAATTAATATTATAACAAAAACAATCCGGGTTCTGGATTCTTGCAGCTTATTTAGAAAGATTTATAGTACACTCAGGATTAATAAGCTTGATTGCTCCAAGACTTTATAAAATTATGAAGGCTATTATTTTCTCATAATACCATTAGTATTTGTAACTACTTATCAGGTTGGATTAATCTCCATAAAATTTTATGGAGGCATTAACAAGAAATAAATACCTATATGATTCGAGGAACTTGTTAACTTTATCTTTCTTGAGAAGAGTGTGATACATATTGATCCTCTTGGTAGATCCGATATTCAAGTCTGATTTATCCCTGGAGCGAAGATCCTCTCTCGTTTTGATGATATCATCTGAGATTTTATCTTCTGTCTTTTTGTTACCAACTCTCCAAATTTCTTTATATGTGAGTTTATCCCTTGCTCTTTTCCTGATCATATCAGGGAAGTTTTTAATATCCTCTAATGTATAAACCATATCATTCTTGAGTCCTCCTGGCACTCTTTCATATTTCCCTATGTGTTATAAGAGCTCACTTACTTTTGAGGGTATGAAAGATTTCCTCAGTTGCAGATGTATCTCCTGCACTGAACAGGATAAATCTTAGTATTAAAGGTACCAGAGGATTGTTTTCCTCCGATCTTCCAAATTTTCTTTCAAAGCTATCTCGAGGAGGGTATCCTTCATCTTCTACCATAAGAGAGGAAGAATCATGAATTCTAGAATCCATTTTCTCTTCTTCAGATGATGGTTCATTAATGGGTGTTGGGGTTTTGAACTTTGATTCTTCTTCCTGACTCCCTCCTTCAAGAGCACTGGAATCATTGTTCTCCATTTCTAAGGATCCGTTTTGATTTACTTGTTCATTTTTGAAGTTATCAAAAATAACATCTGCAAGGACTGATCAACTTTTGAGCACTTTAGTAAGATCAATCTTTCCTTGATTTCTTCTAGCTTTGGATACCTCCTTGGTCAAAGTTACCACTGAGCTTATGATATCGAGTTTCTTTTGAGGAAAGATAGTTTGAAGCTCTTCAGTCATGTTTGATAGTAATTGACTCTCCTTCAAAGAGGATAAAATCTCAATCTTTCCTCATGCAACTGTGATTATCGTCCTCATGAGAGTCTCATCTTTTATTTTTAATTTTTGAGCCAATAATTTGTAGTCAATATCTTTCTTTTTCAGTGCGAGAGGGAAGATCAAAGATGAACACTCAGAATCCAAATCAATCTCATTGTAGAGTACTTTAAGGTTTGAAACATCTCCCTTGAATCATGCCAAGAAGGATGATACCACTTGAGGACTTGTTCATTGGTGGCTGATCAGATCGTATCATGCTTTGTATCAATTCTTAGGATTTTCAGGATCTAAAATTCTGAGGATATTCACACCTAGACTCGGATGAATCTTCACGCTAGTGAAGAACTCTTCAAGAAGTTTCTCATAGCCAGTATCTTTCTTAATAATGGATATCAGAACTTTGAGATCCGCAGTATAACCTGTTTTGAAAATATTTAGTAGATTGTTTATGACCTTTTCTCTCTTTGGGTTTTCACTATTAATATGCAGCCATGCGCGAGTAAACCTTTTATGGTCGATTTTTCTGTTGAAATAGCTGGGATAATACTCGAATATATGATCACAAAGCTCATCAAAGAAGCCTGCTTCAAACAGTAAATGATACATATTATCCATTGAAGTATGGAGTTCATTTAGTTTCGACTTATCATCAACATAACTCTTGAGTAATTTTGTAAGACCTCGGAACAATCGGTTACTCTTTGGCATTTGAGTAAAAGTATCTTTAAGAACACTTTTGTTGAATAATAGTACAGCCGGGAGCATTTTCTTAGCAATTTGAGAGGAAGAGGATATATCTTTTGACTCAGCACAATGGCTAATGAGAACAAGAGTCATGATTCAGTCAATATTTTTCTGATCAAATAAATCTATTATCCCATCCAGTAGCAAACTCTTCTCATTGATTTTGAGTATTTTGCTAAAATATCTTGGATTCTTAGAAACAATGAGCTCTGATAGCTTTGTGAGGAGCATAAAAACGTTGTTGTAATCTTCTTTAGAATAATTTTTAAAGAACTTGAATCCTTCTTTTTCTTTATCGTCCAATTTCTCTAACTCCTTTTTGAAAAAGTATGTGAATGATTTAATATCAGGATCCTCAAATCTCCATATTTTATTCAAATCAACAGTATCCCAGTCGAAATCATCTTCCAGGCCACCATCATTGTTGTATGAAGGGAAAATAGAAGCTTTGTTGCGTAAGAGAGTTACTAAGAAATCGGCAAGATATTCCTGAGTTGCTTGAGTGATCTTATCCTTATCAACTGATGCTTTTAGTCTCATCAGAACGGTAATAAACTGCTGATCAACGCCAATAATGTTTTTAGCAAGAGACTTCATTATATTATACTCCTTTTCTTCCTTCTTAAATGTTATTGTAGCAGTGTTTATCATATTTTGAGAATAAGTCCAAAGGGCAGCTGTTCTCTTGACGTTGCTCATAGAAATGTCAAGCACCTCTGAAATCAAATTCAGCCTTCTTTTTGAAATCTCTGCCTTGAAATTAAGCTTAGAAGGATCAATTTTTGGAATTTTGTCTTCAAATCTGAAAATTCTAGATGGATCTTTTGTGAGTATATCAATAATAAGGTGAAACTTATCACTTTCTATTCCCAAAACTGAGGCTATCATATTAATAGAATTATTGTAAGTATCAAGATCCACTGATTTGTACATGATGTCTTTATGTTCACTGTAAAATAAGAAAATGCAGATATTTGAGAAAGCTCTCAAGTATGATTTTTTAACCTCGCTTGTAGTAACCTTATCAAGCACTTCTCTGGTTATTTCTTCGATGAAATCTCTGATATCATCCATGATCTTGTTTGTATTCTATATGAATTGAGCATTACTTCATGGGATGATTACAAATAATCATTTTATGTATTACACAATATTTTGGTCAATAGATTTACATCGATGAATCTAAAAGTCTAACTAGTGTTATTAAAGAGAAGTTGACCATAGTTTTATGGCCACATTGCCAAGCTAGAAAGCATCGTCATAAAATCAATTAGACTCTGTTTCTCTCCTTACATATTCTTGAGGATCTTTGTCTCTGTCAGACTTATTTACATTGTTAATTCTATTGATTAGTTTGACAAGTTTCTTCTCAATTTTCGAAAATTTTTCTAGAAATTATAAATTTTGCTTACTCTTAAGAGACTTAATACTGGATTTTTCAATGCCAATAACGGGTAGAATCATGTCAAGCTGATCTAAGGATTTCTTAATAGTATTAATGATATGGGTTAGTCATATCAACTGTTCTGTGTCCATTATATAAATCACAAGAATACATTCTGCACAGTGAAGAATAAGAGTAATGTATCAGTTGACTATTTAAGTTATTTGGTGATACTTACTTGACTGTAATGGCATATCAAGTTTCTTGCAAATTTGTTTCAGATTAATTTCAGACCCAGACATCATTTCCTCAATTTCAAGAATGATTGCACTATGCTCACTTATCCTAAGGTTATCTCAGATATAGCTTAAAGCAGATCTGTCTCCCTGAGTAGCTTTGTAGAGTTTTTCTGATTTCTTGAAAGAAATAGGGAAGATAGAGTTGCTAGCTAAAGAGGAGAAATCAGCAACATTCGAGTTGATCATTGCACTGAGCCCAAGATAGTAACTCTGAAGTTTATAGTAATTTACTCCTTTGAGCTTTCTTTGTCAGAAGACTTTAATTCCTTTAATAGCAGCATGCCTCACGGTTTCTTCATCATCATTGAATAGTGCATAGATGAGTTCTATAGAAATTCATGGATCCACACCAAGAATTTTTTTAAAGATGACTATTGTTTCCAAAAATATTCTTTGTAGCAATTTTGTTCAGAGAATTAAAGAGATTATAAAACTTCTCTGGTAATATCTTCTTTGTCAATACAGATAGACTTTGTTGGACCTTAAATTTGTCTTTGCTTGATGCTGCTATAAGTAAGTCGAGAGCTTCAACAGGGACCTTTGAGCCTTTGAAAGCTTTCCTCAATGGAGTCAGATCATTTTCAATAAGAACTTGGATCATAACATCAATCAGATCAAGGTTGAAGTTCGGAACAATACTCTTAATTATACTCTTAAGAATTCTAACAGTTTTCTTTGTTGTCTCCTCTTTATTCTTATTCTTATTTGTGACATGGTAGTAGAGCAGGTCAACAATATCAACAATGTAAGACCCTTTGATTCCTGCTTTTTGTGCAAACAATTTTATGGAATCTGCTATCATCAGAGGATCATCCAGGATGGTTCCAACTACTCCTTTTGAGATTTCAGGGCCAATTCCTAAGCTAGAGTCGAGAGTATCTATCAGATACTCTACATTTCCATTGAGAATTTCATCAGTAATTTTTCTTTCAAGAGGTTCTACCTTGTTGATGGCTAAGAAAGCGTTTACTGAGGTATGGAAGGTTACTTGAGGCAAATTATCAGCTGCATCAGTTATCTTTGAAATTATTTTATTGTTGCTCAAGCTGTTTACAATGGTAGATTGGAGCTGCTCTTCAATTACTTTCCCTACAATATTATCCAAAGTTTTCTCGATGTTGGATATTATGTTGTAAAAATAGAGGAAGTATCCAATAATTACTGAAGCTCCTGAAGCAAGAGGAAGGAAGGCCTCAGGATTTAGTATTGCTCCTAGAATGCACCAAAGTAAGACTATTCCAATATAAGCAATATAAACTCCAGCATAGAAGCAGAGTAAAAGCCAGAAAAATGATGATATGATCCATCTAGGTCCTGTTTTTATTACAGGGTATTTTCCTGTATCTTCTTTGTCAGTAGCAAGAAATCAGATAAACTCTAAAATCCCAATGAACACGAAAATAATTCCAATACCAATATAAGTATAGAAAGCCCATTTGAAATTGAGGTGATCAAGCCAGAATTCGGTGGAGCTTGGGAAGAATAAATCTTCAAATCCAAAAGTAGGGGCGTAGATGTCACTTCTTACATAATTTATCTGAAGAATAGACCATGCAAAGTTGATGATCAGCAACAGAGGAATACTGAAGAGAACAATCAGAGTCATAAGCATTCTGACAAATGTTCTGATTATGGTGCTCAATGAAATCTGTTTAGATACTTTGGTATAGACTCTTTTCGCTGAGCCAGTGAAACCATCAATCAAATCTTCTTTAACTTCTCTTCTAATGAGACCCCTGACTTTCTTGTACAGTTTTCTCTCATCAGGTGTTTGAAGCTTCTCCTTCATTTTTAACTCAGTACTTATGGTGATGCCAATAAGATGTGGAATTTGAAATTGCTCTTTGTATATAGCGCCAAACTCAGTAAGTTCTTGACAAGTCAGTATATTTCCTGCCTTCAGAGCATCAATTTTATTCCTTTTACAATAACTTTCGTACTTTCTAGCAAGTTCATCTTGAAGAATGTAATCTGAATCAAAGCGGGTGGCAGCTCAGTTCATTGCGATGAAGTGTCTTCTGATAGATTCAAAGTCAGTCTCATCATCTTTTCCTCCTTTAACTTCTTTAGCTTTCTCATACTTAGCCATCTCAAAGTAGCTCTTCCATCTGATTTTGGTGTAGACTGAGGTTGTAGAGGAAGACAAAGGCTTTATCTCCAGCCCATATTCTTCAAGTGTCTTTTCTTGATCTTTGATGATTCTTGGAGTCAGCCCATTCTTAGTTCAGAAATCATAGTATATCTTCTGTAGGATATCAAACCTCACTGCTATTCTTTGTAAGTCTTTGGGATTCTCCTCTTCCTGTGTGATGAAATATTCTTCATCAACTGTGATGTAGTTCAAGAAAGTGACAAATGAATCTATTGTTCTCCTGTAGTGTGCATCTATTCCGAGATTGATGATTTTGTAAAAAGACAGACTAATCATCTTGTTTCTCTCTATTCTCTTCATTAGACTGTTTTTCTCAGATTCATCAAGAACTAAGTTCCTGTCTTCAACTTTGGTCGTGAGTAATCCAATCCTGAGCACTTTTGTTGGTAGCTGTTGCTTCGCCTTTGAGTTTGCTTTATCATTAGATTGGAGAGTGTTTCCATTATTGCAATGATTGCTTTTTATTTTAGAGAACCTTCTAGCTCTTTGAAGCTCCCTATTGTAGCTCTTGTCAATGATTTCTTTCAGTTTGTTGGCTATCAAGAATACTAAGACTACTAGTAATCAAGTTGCAAGAAGCATGATTATCAGACAGATGATCAGAAGAATGTTGCTGTCTAAGAAGCTGATGGATTCCTTCACAAATTTGTTATCAGCAGTGAGTTCATAGCTGTAATAGTTGTCCTTGGTCAGTTCAGCAACAACATGCTTTGAGTCAAGGTAGCTTAGTTCCTTGATCTTTTCAGAGATATAGACACTTGATGCAATAGACCCTGAAGCAGCATTAGGGCAAGTTGCATTTGGGATATGGATAAGAGAGTGTTTCTCCATTGTTGGTTTTAAGAGGTTCATGGAGAGAATCGAAATGAGCCAGACTCTTGCTTGCAGGTATTGCTTCGAGAAGAGATGTATCCATGTGTGAGCAAAGTTGGGACTGGATATCTCATATACAAACATTTTTGTCGATTTTGAATCTCTACTAAAAGCCTCCTTATGTGTTCTAAGTTGATTCTGAGATGTCACAGATAATGTATCCAGAGTAGGAGCATAAGTGACACTGGCAGTCGTAGGGGATGAGTCAATGACGAATTGGATAGGGCCATCGTCGAGTGTCAATGAGAAATCACCCTGGGCACTAGTAGCAACAGTTCCAGAGGCAGGTCATGAAGTTGATAAATTTGAGCACACGTAAAGTTCTGATAGACAATATGAGGTTGTATCTATTGTGGTTGCAGTAATTCCTTGCTCTCTTTGAGCTTGAGTTGGACATGAAGTGTCAGATGTATGGACTGTGGCTCCAGCAATGCAATGAGTCCCAAGAGGAGTCTTGGCGGTCACTTTGTTTTCTGAGTATTGAGAATTTTGAACAATATTTAAACTCCCAACAGTTATTTGGAAATTCATTGATTTTATTTTTAACTTTTGAAAATCTCAGATACAAAAATCTCCACTAATGATGAGGTTATCAACCTGATGTTGATTATTGAAAAAGATATGGGGAGCTGAGTCATCAATTACCACTCTCATTGTGTTAATGGAGAGAGGGGTACCCCAAGAGCTTCCATCTTTTGAATCAAAAAGTAAAATATCTTGATATTTATCACCGACAAAATCAAAATTGAGGCTAGATAAGGATTTGCCTCCTGGAATCTTTATCTCCACATAGCATTGGACAGTAGGAGACCCAGAGTGAACTTCGAGGAACAATTCTCCTCCTTCTAACTTGTTTTCTATGTGAGCGGATCTAATTGCACTGATGTCAACATGGATCTTTGATGAATCTGGGTTTTCAAGGATAAAAGTCCTGCAATCTTTCGTGTTTACATTAATGATGTCGATTGTAGAAGCATCATAGCTTTCATAAGTCAGCTTGTTAGCAAAGTAACTAACTCTAAAGGACCATTCCCTAGTCTTGCCGATAAATGAAAAGATTATGAACAAGAGCAAGACAAGCAGGATGAATCCAAGTATCAATACTCTAAAATATCACTCAATCATTTACCTCGAAATCTTATTTGGAAACTGAGTACTTCGTAAACTTCTTGAGTCAGCACCACCTAAGTGGCATGATCTTGTCTTCTTCAATGACACTCTTTCAAAGCGGATATACCAAATCTTCATCCTGAGTTCTGAAATCTTGCTTCTCTGGTATTTTGAAGGGGAATATTCCAAGATTCTCTTTTTCCTTCTTATTCTTTTCTACTACTCCAATCTGCAAGTCAGTTTTTCTCTAAAATTATAAGTAAAACCTCTTATTTTTTGTGGGATTTGGAGAATTCTTAGGTTCGGACACTTTTAATTAAAAGGTGTAAATCAAGTCGATTTCTATTTTAACTTAGCTTCGTTAAGAACTTTTGCTTGCTTATCATCTTTCAAAAATAAAAAGAATAAAATTCTAACTCGAAGGCATGTTACCTGTGGTAGTTCAGACATTTTAATAATAGATTTATTTCTCAACTTTTAATTTATGGTACGGGGTTTTGGGGTTTTGGGGTTTTGGGG